ATACATATTGAACATAGTCTGAAAGAACACATAGACTACTAAGTTCTAATTCTGCACAAAAGTAGTCGTGACTATAATGCGAATGTTTAGATGTATGTTTGTTTGACTGTATCTCCAGAACGGCTGGATTGAACTTGATGAAATTCGTCATACATATAGAACATAGTCTGGAAGAACACATAGACTACTAATTATGTTTTTTTTTAATTACGCGGACGACAGCTAGCATATTATAAAGCGTATTTTATTATGTTTTTAGGGAAACTTCTTCCACCATTAGGAAGATAAATTATTGCTCTTCAATATCTAATAAAATTGACGTGTCTGTATATAAAAAAAATCGCAGACATGTTTTTGCACTTATAACGTAAATAGAATTTTTCTCTGTCTGTCCGCAAGTCCTCGTTCGTTTAGTAATTTGGATTTTTTTCATAACTTTGACGGGTAGGTAGGCTGATGTAAGCGGGCAAATTATACACCACTTTTTTTTTAATTCACGGGTATAGTCGCGGGCAATCTCTATAGTTTAAATATTAGTTTTTACATCTATTGAATTGTACACATTTTCCAAATCCACTATTAGCTTTTGTATTATTTAAAAAAAAATGTTGCATTTAAAATTTTCAATAAAACTCGGACGCGATTCACCCCCTATTTTAGTTCTTTAGAGGATGAATTATAAATATTGTTACTTAGTGCATCTCGATGCAAAATATTAAATCTTCGAGACTTAAAAATATATTTCTAAATAATAGCTTTTACCCTACCTACTTTTATTTATTTACTAGAAACCCCCGCGACTCTATCTGCACGTAATTAAAATAAAAACCCTATTAAAATTCTATGGTCTTTCCAGACTATGTTATATATTTATGTAAAATTTCAGCGACATCCATACAGCCATTCTAGAAATACCTTCAAACATACATACATCTAAACATTCGCATTTATAATATTAGTAAGATGATGTAACAAAATTTATGTTAAGTAAAGGGTCAATTACATAGTTATCGTCACCCTTATCTTTAAATTTATAAATTAAATAAATATTAAAAAAAAAAACAATTCATTGAAAAAAAAAATGAAAATATCTTTAAGAGTAATCAATCAATAAATTAAATTAAATAAAAAACGAAGCTTTTTATTATTAAAATTAAGGTGAACGTAATATTCACTGACCTATATACGGTGGATGTATTGGTGAGAACACACTTTAGTTTTTCACTTTAAATTAATATTAAAAACATTGTATTTAACACTTAAATAAGTATATTAATAAATATAATCACTATTTATAAATTAATTTAATCCAATTTAAATCACTAAAACACTTTATTTTAACGTACTTTATTTTGGCAATAAAATTTATTTTCAACAATTAATTTTATTGTTAATATTAAGATTGTTTTATACACTTTTTATTCTTTCACTGTAGACCTACAGAGGAGTAAAATTCACTGCTCTTTATTGACCGATTTACCATTCCCTGGTTACAAAATCGATTTGTGACGTAATATGTTTGTTAATTATATTCCTTATCTTTTTGTATGTTATAAATTGAACACACTATTGAATTATTAAAAAAAATCGTTATTAATTTTTATAATACACGGAAGGGATGGATTGCACGACCGTTCTGCGCAGGGCCGGCTCAGGCACTGACGCGCGGCTCCAAGGGTTGTGGTGGGGGTTGAAAAAGGGTGTTTTATAGTGTGGCGTAGACCAAATGAACTGGGTTTTGTTTCGTTCTAGTTTTTTTTTTCTATGCTACCAAGGAAGGTTCCATTTAACATCTATTAGTTACGAATGCTAATACATTTATGTCGTCTGTATTTTATTTTAATTTATATTTGGAATTAGAAAGAAATTTACTTTATAATTTACATGTGTTATCGAACTAGATAAGAAATTATAATACTAGTTGTCACCGACGATTTACTCGGTGCAGAACTACCCTGAAAAATACCCTAGAACATGCCTGCGTGCACCAGCTACCTTACAGTCAAAGTCCCGTTAAAATCGGTATACCTGTTCCGGAGATTACCCGGAACAAATGCGGTCTGGCGGGCAGACAAACACGCAGACAGTAATTTATGAAATTAATCTTTCGTTATCACCTACAAAATTACATTTTGTGCACGAAATATTATGTTTTATCGATATTACATACAGAAACTCTAACTTTATTTATTATAGATGAAGTTATTATATTTTGGGATGTCTCTATGTTTAAATTGATGATACCAACATGCATCTTTTTAATAAGTCTGTTTACTCCCTTATAAAGGGACCTTAGTCTATTTATATTTGATAGATTACAAAGTGTTTAAAATTTACAGCAAAAAATTAAAAAAAAAAACAGTCCTTTTTAAAATTACAATGTGACATGAACATGATACGTTCTTCTTATTTAATTCATAACGTCATTTTAAGAAAGGTCACGGAATAAATAAGTGTCAGTTTTCACTGCCAAATTACTGTTTTTTAATCTGACATTTTTATCAAGAAGATGTTTATAGTTTTATAATATTGGTTAGTCTAGTAAAACTAGAAGTCTAGATTTTTTTACCTTAAAATTTTTAGTTTTTTTTTTTTGTAAATTGGCCTGTGATTTAAACTTTACCAATAAATATTGTGTTGTATCATAATATGTAAAATAAAGTTAAATTTTACCTTAACAATTATTTTTTTAATTTCTAGAATAAAAAAAATCTTAGTAAAAACATTAACAGTATCAACTCTGTCACCAACTTCTACGTAACTAAATAACACATCTATTTATTTCAATATAATGTTTCTGTAACACCAGTGCTAAAGAACGTTTAACATATGCAAGAGCGATTACTAAATAAGATACATTTGGTGGACGAAAACTGGTGCGCTTACCCTACCTTAATAAGGACAAGGTTATTTTATTTCTTAAAGACAAGTAAAGTTTGGCCACAATACTAGTTTACAAGCGTGATAAATCATCATCAGCTCACTATACGTCCCCAACGAGGGGCTCGGAGCCTACCCTAAGTTAAGGGTGATTAGGCCACAGTCAAACACGCTGACCAAGTGCGGGTTGACTTTTCACATATATTTGACTTTCTAAGATATGTGCAGCATCACGATGTTTTCCTTCACCGTAACAACATAGGGTAAATGTACATATGCAGATCGCAAATCGGAAAACACATTAGTACATGGCGGGATTCGAACCCAGGACCTGCAGATTGCAAGTCAAGTTTTGACCCCTGAGCCACTAAATAATAACCAATAATAAACAACCATTAATAACGTAATTTGTACTAATTTATCATTAAATACAATTTTCATCATCATTTCGTTTGAACAAATAGCTCCGATGCGCCGCAAATAGTAATAAAAAAATAATTTCTCTAGAAAATCCAATAAAGAATGCCTCAAGAGACCACTCCCTTTAGAGGCTAGTTGTGGCTTGCTTTCAGAACATGGGGGTGGAATTTTGGTATATAAATATATCGAATATATGAAGAAATTATGCAAAATAAATATATAAGTAACATAAATAATTTATTCCTAAAGTATCTTTGAATAATTGTTTGTTAAATTTTTTCTTTTAAATGTTTACGTTCATAATTTAATATTCATAACATTTTGTCAATAGATGGCGTTGTCCAACAAAGTCTTTTAAACATTTATTGAACCTTTTAATATAACTCTTTGGGTACCCTGAAATATTTTATTACAGCTTAGTAGAGATTATTTAATAGAATTTCCTATTAATATTATTACAAATAAAAATAAAATAATTATTATAGCTAGACTACTTTTAAATCATGGACAATAGATGGCGCTGATTAGAGTAAATCTTACTAATATTATAAATGCGAATGTTTAGATGGATGTTTGTTTGAAAGTATCTTCAAAACGGCTGCGTAGATTTCGTTGAAATTTGTCATACATATAGAACATAATCTGGAAGAACACATAGACTACTAAATTTTTAAAATCCGCGCGAATGGAGTCGCGGGCGATCACTAATCGGTTATAGCAACATCGCCGTGTTCGTAATGTTCAGTCGCAATAACCGATAAGTGCTTTAACTGTTTGAAATGTCTATTTAATGTGTTAATAATTGATTTATTTTCTTTTCCTTAAGTAAATATCATTTTCTTTAATATTTCGCATAAAGGTGACCGCAATAATAATAAATACCAATAAAAAGTAATTGGTCAAGGAAAAACTAAAAAATATCCCTGAGGGTTGCACCCTAAAGGTGTTTAGGGTGCGTGCTCACCCACAAATACATTTAGGGTGGATTTTTTTAAAGGTCTATAGACAAACACGAATTTTTATATAAAAAAATCTTACTAATATTATAAATGTGAATGTTTAGATGGATGGATGGATGTTTGTTTGAAGATATCTCCAGAACGGCTCAATGAATCTTGATGAAATTTGTCATAGATGTAGAACATAGTCTAGAAGAAAACATGGCTTCTTATTAAGTTTTTTATAATAGATTCCGCGCGGACAGAGTCGCGGACGATAGCTAGTTTTAATAATAAAATTAATCACATAGACTCTTACTATAAAAAATTTGTCAATATTTTCTTTTTTTATAACAGAAGGGGGTAAACAAGCAGCGGGAAAACTGAGGTGTTCAACGACGCCAATGGACATCTGCAATACCAGAGTAACCGCAGATGCGTTGCCTTTGAGATGGTGATACGCTCGCTTCTTGAAGGACCCTAAGTCGTAGCAGTTTGGAAATACCGCCGAGGACAGACCATTCTACAACGCTGCTAATAATGTCAAATACTGAACTTAAACATACGCCAACCTTTTTATATAGTAATTATAAAACCGGGCGTGGATTTTTGACAAATCATGGCTATTGAAAACATTATTATGGCTTACGAAATGACTTCTTGAACAATACATATTTATGATTAAACATAACCACTTTGACGTATATAATTTCCTTTACCGGCTGTCAAAGGGTTAAAACATGTGTTTTTGTGTGTTTACCTGTAGATTTCCATTGGAAAGGCGTTGTTTGGTGACAACTTTCGTTTCGTTCTTTCACAAATTAAAGTTACTATCATCAAAATGGCGGCAACCAAATAGACACAAGATAACACGACTTATAACCTCTCTAGAGTAAGCAGTTCAGTGTTTTAAGTACTTTCAACTCTATGACCTTTGGAACTTGAAATGATAAAATATGTTGAAATGAGATAGGAATTCCCCTTTATTATATGTTTTTATAATAAATTTATACTAGTAATTTACCCTTCGTTTCTTTAGTAATTAAACGTAGGTTACTGTCGCGTAGTCGCGGACAATCTTCATCATCATCAACATGCCCTTATCCCTATTAAGGGTCAGCACAGTACTACTCCTCCACACATCTCTATCAGCTGACATATCCAAATCTACTCTCTCACATACTGTAATAATATTTGGCTTTGAATGTTATATTGTCAAATCGCGGACAATCTTCTAATATTATAAATGCGAATGTTTAGATGGATGGATGAATGAAATGTTTCCCATACAACCTCTGACTTACTAAATTTTCATCATATTATACCTTTATAGAGGACATAAAAACATTGGTAACTCATACCAGACTAACTGTAGCCCGCGACTCAGTCCGCGCGGAATTAAAAAAACTATTGGTCGCAGCGTAATGTTATATAGCCCAAAGCTTTCCTCTATAAATGGACTATCCAACAAAAAAATAATTTTTCAAATCGGACCAGTACTTCCTGAGATTAGCGCGTTTAAATAAACAAACTCTTCCACTTTATAATCTATATATATAAAAGAAAGTGGTGTTAGTTACACTATTTATAACTCAAGAACGGCTTTACCGATATGCCTGAAAATTGGTGAGGAGGTAGCTTAGAGCCAGGAGACGGACATAGGATACTATTTATTCTTTTTTTTCTTTTCGAATTTATGCCTTGAAGAGCTGCTTTTTATTTAACTTACTAATATTATAAATGCGAAAGAACACATAGGCTACACTTATTAAGTTCTTTAATAGTCGCGGGCGACAGCTGGTATTGGTATATATGTCGCATGCGACTCCGTCTGTCTTCCAGGTTATTTATGACAAATTTCATCATGTACAGGAGTTCTAACATACATCCAAACATTCGCATTTATAATATTAGTAATATAATATAATTTACATTAATATTTATCAGACTTAAACAAGATAAAGTCATTTAGAGTTGAAATTGCGTTGCTTCAACATGTTTAAAATAATTCTATTATTAATCGTAACTGGTACATCCTGTTATACAGATGTAAATAAGTTTGTCGGTGAATGGTATCACATCGCTATGTACACCGCGGCATCAGAAATAAATGTATGTACAAAATTTAATATAACGTTAGATGGGAAACCATGTACATGCGATGAGAAAAGTGCATCTGCGTTAAAATTCGGATTAGTTGCATTACCAATAATAATAATTGAAGATTACAATCAAGTTGAAAATGCATTGAATCAAAAATGTAAAAGCGGTGATATTATAAAAACAATGGCCGTCAGATTGTTGAATGACGATTATTTTATCGTATACGAAAAGTGTTACGAATGTACAAGTAAAGAACCAAATACGGCAAATTTGATGGCGAAGAAAATACCAAGTAGAAAGGAATTTGAAGAATTGGAAGGTATAGAAGAATTAAAAGATAGGAAAGGTGTGGTTTGTAATCTTGTGAAATAAATTTTATATATTTTAATTTGTTTTTTATTTATTATTAGCTGTCGCCCGCGATTCCGTCCTTAGTGTAGCCTATGTGTTCTTTCAGACTATGTTCTATATATATGCCAAATTTAATCGAGATCCGTTCAGCCGTTCTAGAGATATTTTCAAACATACATCCATGTGAACAAAAGTTTTTTGCTGCTAAATTAGTGAGACTAACGAACAGCAATTGATTTTTATTTATATAGATTAATTAATATTATAAATGCGAATGTTTAGATGTTTGTTAGAAGATATCTCCAGAACAGCTGCATGGATCTCGCTGAAAGCATAGATGTAGAACATAGTCTGGAAGAACACATTGGCTACTTTAATACTTTTTTTGATTAAAAAAAAACCTTGATGACCAGCAAAACACAAGTGAGGTAAAAATTATATACACCACAGTTTTCACGCCTTGAAATCTAGACTTATTTATAACCTAGCACTAATGACCTAAAGTCAGACATCACGAGTACTATCCAGACTTGAAGTGGGCGGGGAAATATCACCGAGACGGCCATTAGCCAGCGCATTAAATGCACTCTTTCTTAAAATACCCACATTTATCGCGCAATTTTTAACTACCCTACTTTAAAATATCTATAATGTAGAAAATAAAAACATCATTTGCAAAAAGTAAAGTTTTCTAGTTCTTTTTAAGTGACTTCAAAAAGGAGGAAGTTCTCAATTTGTCTGTATGTTTTATTACTCTGCTCCTATTGGTCAGATTTTTATAATTATTTTTTTATTCGATAGGTGTTGCGTGTTATTTGGTCCCATTTTTGGAAACATTAAAAACTATTTAGTAATTTTTGACTTATTCTCAATATACCGCGCCAAAGACATGGAGAAAATCGGCCAAATTTGCTTACCTCATCATCATCATCAGCTCACTATACGTCCGCACCGAGGGGCTCGGAGCCTACCCTAAATTAAGGGTGATTAGGCACTTCACACATATCTTTGAATTTCTTCTCAGATATGTGCAGCATCACGATGTTTTCCTTCACCGTAAGAACGTCGGATAAATGTACATATGTAAATCGGAAATAGAAAAACACATGGTACATGGCGGGATTCGAACCCAGGACCTGCAGATTGCAAGTCAAGTGCTTGACCACTGAGCCGCCGACGCTCTTACCTAGCTTATCTTTAATTCATCTGACCGTTGGAAACTACAAAAATACTACATTCCTTCATTCATTGATTGATTTATCGTTCACTCATTAATACATTAACTCATTCGTTCATTCCTTTATATGTATAAGATATATTTTAACCATGACATTAGTAAAAAGTTCTCACCAAAATCTTCATAATGAAATCTACATCAAAATCACGCAAACTTTGTCCTAAAACCTAGTACCTGAATGACAGAGCTTTGCTCGCTATTTTTTTTAATTGTGTTTTTTTGAAATTATATTTAAGTAGGAATTACTAATAAAATGATGAAATATGAATAATATTTTTCGATCTTAAAGATAGAAAAAGTTAAGTTTATGTTTAAGTTGATTATCGATAAAACACGAATAAAATGACATTTTCTAAAAATGATTCCTAGCTAGATCGATTTATCGCCCCCGAAACCCCCTATATACTAAATTTTATGAAAATCGTTGGAGCCGATTACGAGATTCCAATTATATATATAGGATATAAGATAAGATAAGTACCGCTTTCATACAACATTTAAATATACAGAAAAGTATTTTTTACAACGAATTATAAAATTAAAATATAAAACCTCTTTTCGTAACAAACTAAAGACCATCTTCACGCTAAATTATAATTAAAAATGTTCATTAAATATCCCCCAGTTTCATTCACTCTCAGAGAGGGCAAATGAATCTTAAATATGAATAATATTTTTCGATCTTACCAATAGAAAAAGTTAAGTTTATGTTTAAGTTGATTATCGATAAAACACGAATAAAATGACATTTTCTAAAAATGATTCCTAGCTAGATCGATTTATCGCCCCCAAAACCTACTATATACTAAATTTTATGAAAATCGTTGGAGCCGATACCGAGATTCCAATTATATACATATATAATATACAAGAATTGCTCATTTAAAGATATAAGATATCGCATGCGACTCCGTCTGTCTTCCAGGCTATTTATGACAAATTTCTGCAAGTTCAGGAGTTCCAACAAACATCCAAACATTCGCATTTATAATATAAATATAAGTAAATATATATTTACAAAACAAAGAGAACTTTTGTTAACTCATCTAATATTAAGTATATTAGATGAGTAAGTAATGTTTTATGTAAATACAACTTCAACTTACATTATAAAAGACTTTCAACATTTCTCTCGAAGTTTACTACTTATAAATTTATGAATACTTTCTTGCTCTACCACACTGTTTTGGTAACTGTTTGACGTTCTTACGGTGAAGGAAAACATCGTGATGCTGCACATATCTGACAAACTCAAACATATGTGTCAAGTCTTGCACTGGATTCAATATCACATACTCTTACTTATAGATTCCGAGACATCTATATATATAAAAGAAAGTGGTGTTAGTTACACTATTTATAACTCAAGAACGGCTTAACAGATATGCCTGAAAATTGGTGAGGAGGTAGCTTAGAGCCAGGAGACGGACATAGGATACTATTTATTTTTCGAATTTATGCCTTGAAGAGCTGCTTTTTATTTAACTTACTATTATAAATGCGAATGTTTAGATGTGATGTGGATGGATGGATGGGTGTTTGAAGATATCTCTAGAACAGCTGAACGGATCTCGATTAAATTTGGCATACGTATAGAACATAGTCTGAAAGAACACATAGGCTACACTAATAATTTTTTTTAATATATCCATGCGACGGAGTCGCGGGCGATAGCTAGTATTTGATAAAGTCAAAGATATGTGTGAAGTCTTGCACTAGGCTAGCATTCTCTTTTACATTGTCTCACTTAGGGTAGACTCCGAGACCCTCAGTGGGGACATATAGTGAGCTGATGTTAATTCTATTTGTACTATGAAAATCACAACTATGTTATTATACATGTTTTTCAACAATGAATACTCACAGACATTGGTTATTAAGTTAGAGTCATAACTGTAAATCACGCTACGTAAAATTAATTTCCGTTACCTTCCCCAACCGCCCTTAATATTAGGGTTGTCACCGAAGATTTACAGGAACATTTCTTCTACGTATATATTAGAAAATTTGAAAATAACTCTAGTAATGATAAATTGATTAACAAAACGAAGAAAATATGAATCAATTGTTAAAGTGAAAGCAACAATATGTGTTGCACGAATGTCTCCCGTCTGCAGCAATTCCACGAGCACACAGAAGACACGCCTCAAGTGCGAAGCTATCCCAACTACAGTCTGATGACTGTGTTCCGGAGAAGATGAGTA